ATCAAACCACAGCAGTCTGAGCCTGACTGCTTTGTTGAAGCAGCCACTTAAAGAACTGAGCTAAGGGGCAGGCCCCCAGGGAACTTATTCTTAAAAGGCACTATCTCATAGAAAAAGCAGCTTTTAACCTTCAAGGGGATGAATACTTTTGATCCTTTCCCATTTTAGCACCCTGGGTTCAACTTCTTCCAGTTTTACAGTGATAGGTAGTCCTAATTCTAGTTCTGAAAAACTTAAGTATAAAATAACGTGAAAAGCAAAATAACCTTTAAAAGGGCAACTCCAGAAAACTACTACCAGCCTACTATTAAAAACTAGACTCTCAGAGTAGACATTTTTTACTCTGCAGTGCTACAGGCAGCTGCAAAACTGCCACCATCTGACAGCAGCATTCAGGCCTCTTTCCAATTTTCTAGTCTCTGCCAGAGCCTGGGGTCCACCCTGGAACTGCAGTGTGAGACACAACCTCAACAACCATAATAAGGCAAAATGTCAGTTCTGCTCTAAGTGCCAAATCAAAGACAAAAGTCTCTACTCTTGCAGAGGCTGACTGCCTGAAACAGTTCACTTGTGCTTGTCCTCCAAATTTGTTATTCCTCTGCCCTACATATGGTGGGACACCCTGAACAGCTCTCCTTGAGGTCACCAATCTCTCACTGCAGGTTTTGATGGCTTGTCTGGAATAGACCAGATTTATAAAACCTCTGGGCACAGTTCCTTGGCTACCCAGCGGGACCCTTGCTATCGCTATCAGACTACCTTGTTAAACAGACTAGGTGCCAAGTTTGTGTCCCTCTCCACTGACTTGCTCTGCTGTAAATGACAGGAGAAGTGATGTCTTTTGGGAAGGCTGCTTAGCACTGAGTTCAAAGTGTTGTTTCAAATGTATCTTAAAACTGTGCTGGTCTCATGGCAGTTACCAGTCATATGTTGACTGTTGTTAAACCGTTGAAATGTGGCTGTTTGCTTTCAAAGTTTTTTCTTTCTTTTCAAAAATGTTTTAATGATTTCAAGTATTTTGGACTTGCATAGAAAATTTTTATCTTCAAGTGTTTCACCTTAAAATGTTTCTTGAAAATTTTAATTTTTCTGTAATGCTTTCTATATACAGGTCTTATAAATTTTGCGGTGAGATTTATTATTTGATATTTTAGTAATCTTGTAACCAATGTGTTTTGTTTTCATTTGCTATGAAGTTGAAGTATAGTTGCTTTTTTTTTAAAAAAAAAAAATTATAGTTACTTTTTGATAAACAACAACAACAAAAAATCAGGAATGTGGCTATTTGAAAATATGTGCTAATACATATTAAATTTAATAAAGTCAAGAAAAGGAAGGATTAAAAGAGAAAGAAATTTCAATTTTTAAATACTGATCAAGTAATGAAGTAGTAATATATCTGCTAAAATATATCATTAAACTTCAATGGAAGAATTAATTACATTCACCTTGCTTCAGATGCAATAAACAAAAAAGAAATTATATTTACCAGGGTTTGTCTTCTCAAGTTGATACCATCGGTAAAATGCTCTTTTCTTCTGTTCACTGAGGTCTGATCCCTGCTGTAACAGCCAATGAGAGATTCGGCTCTGACTGATACCTATGTAGGAAAAAAAAAAAGCTTTTAGGGGGCACTGAAATGACAGTGAAGTTAATGAGGGTTCTAATGGTTCTTGTTTAAAGGATGGTTTATTTTTTGTGTCACTCTCTAAGGAGACAGTGCAGCTTGTGTCAGTGTCTTCTTAGTAGGCTGACTTCACTGGTTAGGCCATACTCAGAGATTAACTATTAGTGGGCAAAGCATTTTACTAACCAAGGTTTTACAGAAGCCTCTCAATTAATCTCCAAACCAGGTCCATGAATATGAGATAAATGGTGAGATTCGTAAGTAATTATTTGTCAAAAGCTTCACATGCTGTAGGTTCTATCTTTTAACAGATACTGAGTGAAAAAAGAAAACCACAGTCAGTAAGCTTTGCCATTCATGACAGATACTGACACCCTCCCTTCAAATAGGGGCTAGTTAGCTTAGCATGATAGCGTACACCTGTAATCTCAGCATTTAGGAAGCTGAGGCAGAAGACTGCTGTGAGTTTGAGGCCAAGGGGCAACAGAGTAAATTCAAGTAGCCTGGACTACATAGCAAGACACTGTCTCATTAACAATAATCTAAATACAAATAAATTAATTTTAATTTAATTTTTCTGGCACCAGCAATCAAATTCAGGACCTTGGCCTTGCCAGGCAGGTGTTTATGCTGCTGAGCTATCTCGCTGGCCTGAAATAAATTAATTTAAAAAAACTAGGAGCTAGGACAGGAGGGGTCATTGAAAATATTGTCTCCAATGAGGTTTTTGGCTTGTTAATTCATCTAGGCATTTTTAGAATCATCAGCATTAGTATAAAAAAGAACTGGCAGACTTTTAAGACATATGCTACACTGTAAACTGAAGAAATATTAGCAGCTAAAAACGCTCTTCTAACACATATACTCCCCCACAAAGGAAAAGAATATAGTGTTTGGCTAT